ACAGCAACCTCCCACTCTTGGGCTCAAGCGAGTCTTCTGCCTCAGCCTCCCAAGTAGCTGGGACCACAGGCGCCCACCACAACACCCAGCTATTTTTTGGTTGCAACTGTCATTGTTGTTTGGCAGGCCTGGGCTGGATTCGAACCTGTCACCTTGGGTGTACATGGCTGGCGCCTTAGCCACTTGAGCCACAGGCGCCAAGCCTCAACTTTGAATTCTTCTTTTTTATTACCAGTAGAGTTTTGGTTTTTTTACAGACATTGGAAAGTTTTTTCTCCTTATCGTTGAATTCATAATCATGGTCACATTTCCTTTTCTTATTCCTTTGGATACATTATTTTCATATACATTGTGTCCTTATTTAGCTGTTGCTGCTGTTGATAGTTTTGTTTACAGAATGATTTTTAAACTGTCCAATGAAGTAGTGTTAACTTCAAATAGGATAAATGTGAACAAATAAAATATATCAGATGCTCAAAAAAAAAAGTTACATATCAAAATGGCTGGAACATTTTGTTCTGAACATTTGTTACTATGTTCTCAGGAAGGCTGAATGGAGCAGTGCAGTATCATTATAGTTATTTTTTAGTGTAAATGTAAGTTCCTATTTTTTAGAGTTAGAGAATGAAATATTTGTGGGTGAAATGATATGATGTATGGCATTTTCTTCCAAATAATCCAGGGTGGGGTGGGGTCTTGGTGAGAGTATAGATGAAATAACATTTGCCATGAATTGATAACATTTGAAGCTGGGTGGTGGATAGAGGGGTTTACTGTACTATTCTTTCTACTTTTGTTTTTGACACAATTTTAAGTAAAGGAAGTAGAACCAATCAGTTTAGTACAAGCTGGGATAGTTTAACATTCCAATCTCAATCTGATTCTATTCCTTCCCCCAGAGCTGAGCAGCCTTGGGATTTGGGGGGAGGGGGCTTGCGATGGGGAGGGTTGGGGTTAGCTTTAAGGACTGCTCCTCTCTGCCCTCTTTGGGCCTTGGCCCCTTGGGTTTTGTGGCCCAGAGTGGGGCCTATGCATGTGACTGGCTGTGAGCTAGTGGTAGGAAAGTGCTTCTTCTCTCTCTGGCCCAGTCTGTGAGCTGCTAGTGGCTTCTACTGCTGGTTTTCTTTTTCTTTTCTTTTTTTTTTTTTTTTTTGCAGTTTTTGGCCGGGGCTGGGTTTGAACCCACCATCTCCGGCATATGGGGCCAGCACCCTATTCCTTTGAGCCACAGGCGCCTCCCCACTGCTGGTTTTCTTGAGGCCTTCTCCGTCTATTGGAGAAGATCTCCCAGAGGGAGCCAGCTGTGCCTCCCTTCAATTTCTGCCAGGAGCCCCCTAACTCTACCTCCCTCCTTTCTTTTGGCAGCCTATGGGCACCCCCCCCACCCAAATCCCTGACCAATCACCCAAAATTGATCTGGAAAATGAGGCAGGGATTTGGGTCTGAGGTCATACACGTTCCCAAATCCAAGGCACCAGCCAGCCCAAGCTAAGGACTTCCTCTCCTTCTTTCCTGAGAGGACAGCACTATGGATATCAGTTCTGCCCATCCTGCTAGGTACTCCCTCCCTCCTGAAGGAACACCCTTTAATGGTTTTCAGGATATGGGGAGACAAATTTCTTCTCTGCAAATCTCACATCACTAATAACTCACCACTGCCATCACCACCATCCTGTTTCTAGAACTTTAGTAAGATGTAACTGAAATATGTTGAGCTCTACATATTTCAAATGTGTGGTGTGGTTGGTTTTGCCACATGTATGCACCCATGGATTTCTCTTGTCCTCACTCCTGGTGTTTTACAGATGGGGCAGATGGGGAAGAGAGTGTACATTGTGGCTGGTGGCAGGTATGAGGGCTGAGGGGGGGCAGTAGCAGCTCTGCTTTGCTTGTGGCTTTCTTTAGAATGTAGGTATCTAGCAATTATCTCTCCCTGTCCTTTGTCACCAATTCAGGGGCAAGAATGAAAGTTTCACCATCTTTGTTCATTATTTGTTCATACATACTGTAAAGATGGGGTGTCCTGACTACCCCCATAAGGAGTTCCTTCTTTGAGGGGACATTGAGGTCTAGCATTTGGGCTCTGAGACCCCTACTCTTCTTTATTATTTATTTATGTGTTTATTAAGACAGAGTCTTACTTTGTCATCCTTGGTAGAGTGCCATGGCATTCTAGCTCATAGCAATCTCAAACTCTCAGGCTTAAGCAATTCTCTTGCCTGAGCCTCCTTAGTAGCAGGGACTACAGGCACCTACCACAACACCTGCCTATGGTTTTTGTAGAGATGGGGTCTTGCTCTTGCTCAGGCTGGTCTCGAACCTGTGAGCTCAGGCAGTCTACCCACCTCAGCCTCCCAGGGTACTGGGATTACAGGAGTGAGCCACCATACCCGGCCATCCCCTCCTCTGCTCTAGACAGAATTACTTACATTTCCTCTGTTTTATTGTTTCTTGTTTTGTTTTGTTTATTTTTTTTTGAGACAGAGTCTCACTTTGTCACCCCTGGTAGAGTGCCATGGTGTCATAGCTCACAGCAAACTCTTGGGCTCAAGTGATCTCTTGCCTTAGTTTTTCATTTTTAGTGAAGACAAGGTCTCACTTTTGCTCAGGCTGGTCTCAAACTCGTGAGCTCAAGTGATCCACCTATCTCAGCCTCCCAGAATACTAGAATTACAGGCATGAGCCACCGCCCCCAGCCTCATTTCCTCTGTTTTATAGGTGGTCTTCCCTAAAGGAAGACCCTTGAGGAAAGGGGTCCTATCTGTGATGAAATCATGTTTGAAGCCCAGTCTTAGAGATAGATGATGGTAAGCTGCTAAGTAGTTTTAGGTTGAAGGGTAGCACGGTCAGATTGCATGTTAGAAAAATCAACTTGGATTACAGTGTGAAAAGGAAGATCAGTGGGGCCCATGTGGATTTGGGGAGCCCTGCTAGGAGGCAATGATGGAGGGGAGAGGGCAGAGTAAAAAAAAATACAGTAGAACCTCTATAATTGATCATTTCCCTATATTGACCACCTCCTTAAGTTTACCTGATTTTCATAGTGTTCAGTCTGTGTGTTCAGTCTATCAGCACAGTAGGCCTAGTTCCTTATGTTCACCACACCATATGTTGACCAGTTTGTTAGGGTTCTTTGGGTTGTCACAGTACAGAGGTTCTACTGTATTTAGGAGGTGGCCCTGATCAGACATGAGGGCATACCCGTGAGACAGGAGACTGGGATAGTTTTAGTATGGGTGGCAGGTGGCCCTTGTATGATTCACTGGGGGTGGGAGCACTGGTGGGGGGAGGAGGAGGTAATTTGGGGGAAGAAGGTGGGTTCAGTTCATTCTAGATACCTAACACTAACAAGGATGTGATCTCTGTAGTGGGGCATGTTTTTATTCATGCCACATGCTTTTCTCAGCCAAACCCATACAACCACAGAAAAGGAGGCTAGTTTCAAAGCAGCAGGAAGGAAGATGATAGATTTCTTATGGGTTTTTAGTGAGATTTTTCAAGTAGAACTTGGAAGGAGGATTTCACTCAGCACCAGCAGGCTGATGGGTCAGCTGACATGCTGGGTTCAGCGATGGGCCACATTCACAAGCAGCAAGCCCGCCTGCAGGCAGCGAGTCATGCATCTCTGTGCTGTAATTGTGAGGACTGGCTTGGCTTGGTATCCACTGTTGGATGAAGGCCTTTGAGATTTGGGAAGGATGTGGGCTGGCGGCAGGTTCCCGCGATGGGAGATGTGATGTGCTGGGTCCAGATGTCTCTAAAAGACCAACGCAGACAGTGAAGTTGCCCAAGATATTTAAGATGCCATTTCTGAGTTGGACTTGGAGCTAGAGGACTTTTGGAACTAGTTTTGATCTTTGGACTATACTATGTTATTTGAAGGAGTACTGATAGAGAAAAGTGATCTGTGATCAGGGCCTGTGGGAAACATCAGATTCTACAGCGTGAGCAAATTTCTGTGCCTCAGGGCTCCTTCCAGCCTTTGATTACTAACATGCACTATGAGTTTCCAAGAGGAAGTGACATAGATACAGCTTCCTGTGTATATAGTTATCCCTCAGTATCCATGGGGGGTGGTTCAAGGCCCCCATCCCCTTAACAGATATCCAAATCCATGCATGCTTAAGTCTCTGGTATAAAAAGGTGAGTATTTTCATGTAACCTACACATGTACTCCAGTATACTTTAAATCAGGCGTCCTCAAACTATGGCCTATGGGCCACATGCAGACCACCTAGGATGTTTATCCCGCCTGCTGGGTGTTTTTGCCACCGCTGCCTGTCCTGCTTAGCTGCCAACTCATCCTGGGGCTGCAGTCCGGCCCTCCAACGGTCTGAGGGACAGTGAACTGGCCCCCTGTTTAAAAAGTTTGAGGACCTCTGCTTTAAATCATCTCTCAGTTATTTGTAACACTTAATACTATGTACATTGTAAATGTTATGTACATTGTAAATGTTATGTATTACTTAGGGAATGATGATAAGAAAAAAAACTCTATACATGTTCAGTACAGATGCAACCATTTTTTTTTTTTCTGAATGTTTTTGATCTGAGGTTGGTTGAATCCATGGAAGTGGACTCCATAGATACAGATGGCCGACTGTAACTTGTTACCTGAACCCATTTTTCATAGTGCATTATGAGTGATCAGTGTTTCTCAGAACATTTGTTGGGAAATGTAGAAATAATCCTTTTACATGTTTCTTTGTTTTTTAAAAAAAACACAGTTTTTAATACAGTTTTGGACCCAGAATTCAGTAAGCTTCCATAATTTAATTGATTGTCCTGTTCTCTCTACTTCTCTACATATTTGAAACCTTCATCAGTTTATCAGAATTTATTTCCTAGTGGCATATAGGCGCTGAGTGATGAGTTATTTTTTCCTTTTCAGACAGTTTTGCTGTCTCCCACTTAGAGTGCAGTGGCATCATCATAGCTCAGTGCAACCTCAAGCAGTCCTTCTGCCTCAGCCTCCCCAGTAGCAGGAACTGTAGGGATACACCATCATGCCCAGATACTCTTTTCTATTTTTAATAGGGATGGAGTCTCACTCTTGCTCTTTACTAGTTTTTTTTTAAGGTGTCTAAATTCTGGTGGCTTCCAAGTGTAATAAGAGAGCTGTCTGCACCCCCATCCCACCCCACCCCCATTGGAAACAGAAAGGGTTGCCACAGTTCTGGGTCACAGGGTCCTCAACTCCAACCTTTGTGTATCTGGCCAGGTGTGCAGTGGTGCCCTCTGGAAGGAAGTTGATGGTGGTATTGAGACCCAACACCCTATACCATGATGCTGTGCTTCAGTCCTTCAGTCATGACCAGCTCTCTCTGATCCCTCACACAAGTCATTATTTGCTTGTCCCTTTGAAAGTCTAGATCTCAGTCTCATTCACTATCCTGGGATTGCCCTTTTAATCTTATTCATTAAGTTGCATTTCAAGAGACAAATAACCCTGCTTCCCTGGGGGATGTGTTCATCGCCACCTTTCTCCTTTCCTACTTTAGGAGCTGGATGCATTTCAGCCTTACCCTGTTGAAATAATACCAGGCAAGATCTTCCTGGGCAATTTCAGTCAAGC